CTCAGATAGTCAATATGTAAACTTCCCAGGCAGATGTACTATTTGATACATCCTATTGTTAGGTGGTTGAGGAGGAAGGAGACAGGCTTTGATTTTATTAGGGATTTACAATTCAGTCACACTGAGAAAGAAAAAAATGAAAATTTTATGAGGATCTCACCATGAAGTCTCTTACGTCAGACCACATAAACGAGCACTTACATTGACTCAAATGCCAGCTGTTTTACAGCTAGTATGTACATGTTTTTGAATGAATTCTGTCAGATCCACCTACATCTGATCGGACTACGGTATTTCTCATGTGAAAGTAATTAACTGTGGAAGAAAACTGTGATCTTCATTGCATGAACACAGATTCTAACCAGGGGAATTAACTGATTCCATCCTAGTGTTTGGGGTAAGTGTTGACCGTGTGCGCCTTGTGGCTGTTAAACAATTGTGTGGTCTCCTTATAGGGCTTCTCAGTTCTTTCTAAGCTGTTTTTTCCCTGATAGGATAAGGCTGCCCTGCCAGGTCACTGATCATGCTTTCTGAGAGCTGTTTTCTGTCTTTTGGGCAATAATCATTGTTCACTGCTGTTTTATTGGCATGGCTTTTATTTGCTGGGGAAGCTATTCAGAATCTCCTACAGCCTGCTTGGTGACCCAGATAAGCAGGAGGATATCCACATTTCTATGTGCATGGTAGCAAAACAGCAAGCTAGTAGCACTGATTAGGATAGAAGGGCATTTTAAAATTCTATTCCAGATAGCATAATCATTTAATTTTACATGACAATTGTCTATTAAATTATTAATTTAAAAGAAGGAAGAGAATATCTTTTTTTTAAAGTTCTCCAGATAATTTATTTTTATTATTATTATTTTTTAATAATCTTAGTTTATTAGGGTACAAAGGGTCAAGGGCTACAGGGTGAAAGTGGGTAATATCATTGTTTCCACACTAATATAATTATTTTGTCCTGTATCTGGGGTTAGGGGAGTAACAAAGGGAAAAGCCCCGCCCAACTTCCCACCCATCCCCAATCCCCACCATGAGGTGCTCTCCAAGGGTCCTGCTCAAACAGATTTGATAGTTCATCAGTTCTGGATTGCTGCCAATCTCACTGTCCCAACTGCAAAGAAACCTATTCAGAGTCCACTGGCTGGCAGTCTCGTCATGTTTGGGGTTCCAAGATCAGCAGTTCAGTTGGAGGGAATCTCCAAAGAAACTTCATCTGAGATGATCCCAGACCTGATTCTTGAGTTTGCTGGTACAGACTCCAACACCGTTCGTCACACCAATCAGCTTGTGCATATGCTGGTCGTTGTGATTGCTGGGTCCGTTCGGTTTCTAGCCCCGTCTTCCTCTTGAACCAACGGGTGTTGTAGTCCAGCTCGATCCTACCCACTTTATACAGTCTTCATGCAAACCAGTTGGAGCTGCAGCCTAGTTGGGGCAACTCTCCAAAACCCCTACCAGTTCTGCCCCCTACCCTGGTTCCCATGCTTGCCAGTATGTACCACAGGCTTGTTCAGTCTGTCCCACATCCCATTTAGCTCTCGCACACGTCAATGGACATTGAAGCCTAGTTCAACCCAACCAACCTCTTATCCAGCCCATACACCCACTGGCAGGTGCCTTTCTGTCTAGCCACCCCTGCTCCTAGCCTGGTTTTCATGCTGTCCAGTGAGGGTGGTAACCCTGAGGGAGGTGCCCACTATTTCCCTACTAGGCCACACCCACTCCCAGATTATGCAGTCTCCAGGTGGTTTTGGCATTTGACTTGACAGAATTAGCTCCCAGTACCAGCCTCTGCCAACTAATGCTATGGCTAAGCCCAAACATCCCTCAACCCACTCTAATTTTTACTCGCACCAGTCAGAACAGTCAGCTCACCGTGAGGCCCACAGGTGGTATAGCCCTGCCTAGTCTGAACTGCCCCCATCCCTATTCATGCTTTCCAATGGAAGTAGTTATCCAGCAGGGGTGCCCACGTTCCCCTGTCGGCTTTGCCTCCTCCCTGATTGTCACATATGCTGTTTGTGTGCTGCAACCACATCTGGTACGGCTCACCTCACCTTGGCATTACTTGTTGTGTACTGGTATGTGTTGCAACCGAACCTGGCTCGACCCACACTCTGTTCTGGTGCTCGGATTCACCAGAAGGTAATGTGAACAGTTTTAGCCTGGTCTGCCCCCAACCCATGCCATGTGTATGCCTGTGGGATAATTTTCATTGCCTGTTCTGGGTTGTTCCCCATTGTGCTTCTTGCGCTTACCTGCATGGGACTGTGTCCTGCCAGAGAAGTTGCCCAGGCTCCTCTATCAGAACCTCTCCCAATGCCAGTTTTTGCGCATACCAGTGGGTCCATGAGCCAACACTACTCAGTTCACCTCCTGTCTTAGTAGGAACAGTGGCTTTTCCTGACTGGCCTTCGACCCAAGCTGGTTCTTGTTGGATATTTCAACCCAGCCACGGCTCTTCCATACCCCCACACAGCTCACACATGGTTCAGTAAGGGCTGAGACCTAGCCTAGTCTGTCACACATCTCTCCCCGGTCCTCCAGAGCACCAGATGGTGTTGGAATCTGGCCTGGCTTGGTGCTTCCAGTCCCAGTCCACACTTATGCCAAGTGAGATTACAATCGTATCCTGATCAGAATGCAGCCTCAGTTCCAGCCCATGCGCTTCTTGGTGGGAAACTCAACCCAGCTAGGGTGTCCCGTTTTTTCCCCAACCGGGCCTCTTCCCAGCGATAGAGCAGGTGCAGGCTGGTGGTTGTTCTGTCTCTGCTTGGCAGAGCCCCTCACTTGTCCTGGCCCCTTGGATGCTGTGGCTTAGTGCCTCTGCCTCATGCAGATCAGTATGTGCAAGGACCTACATGGCATGAGCTGTGCTCCAACCTGATTACTGTTGTTTCTTGTGAGTTAAGGTTTGTTCAGCCCTGCCCATTCTGCCCCCTTCCAGTGGCAGCCCGGCCCACCCCACATCCTGTGTAAAGATGCACATTTGGGTGCTGCTGCCTTGACCTACCCTGACTGTTGTGGGTTCCTTTACCCTTGAGTGATGGCAGATGGCATGGTCACACCTAGCTTAGACCATTGCAACCCCAGCTGGCGAGCTAACCTGGGGGATTTGTATTCCAAAGGGTTGGGCCCACACAACCCCACAGAGCCTACCCCCAGACGAAGTTCTCTTGTGTGCTGGATCGTGTCTTGATCCTGCCAAATGTGACCACTCCACAACTCCAACACTCAGTCAGGTAATGGTACCCAACACTGCCAAAGAGGCCCCCATCCATAGTTTTGGTGTGGGCTAGTGTGTGGCGATCAGTGCTGTTCTATACTAATATCCCATCTCTGTATTTGTAATTGAGCTGTTGCATCTGTCTTACTGACATTATCTTCTGGATACTTCCCTAAAACCACTAGGTCTTGGTCCCATTGCATGCTTAAATCTTTCATGACCCGGACACTGAAAATGCCCGAAAATTCACTTCGCACCTACACTCAACCTAGTCTTAGTGATGACTGACCCCAGGCAGCAACTACATATCTTGAAAACCCCAGAGTTCGCCCTGCTGGGTGGCCAGCAAGCAAGGCCTGACACCACTTGGTGCACTGGCCGCCCTGGGGGAGGCCGAGGACTCATTCACTGCCTTGTGGCAGTGTCTTTGGCGTGAGTCCCCAGCATTGAGTGCGACCCAGCAGGGGCACCCCCCACAGTCGCCACACTGCAGGGAGCGTCAGAGGCCCCCAAGCCCAAGGCCCGAACTCGAGAATATCTTTTTAAAGGTTTTGTTGTTGTTGTTGTTGTTGTTGGAAAGTCAAATTTACAGAGAGGAGAAACAGAAAGAAACATACCTTGTCCACTGATTCACTCCCCAAGTGGTAGCAAAACAGCTGGAGCTAAGCCAATCTGAAGCCAGGAGTCAGGAGCTTCCTCCAGGTCCCCCACATGGGCATAGGGCCCAAAGTCCCTGGGCTGTCCTCCACTGCCATCCCAGGTCACAAGCAGGAAGCATGACAGATGGTGGAGCAGCTGGAGCATGAGCTGGTGCCCACATGTGATCCCGGTACACGAAAGGTGAGGACTTCATCCCCTAGACTATTGTACTGAGCCCAAGAATAAATATCTTATCTTATGTTTCACTTCCCAAATGCGAAAGCCAGGAGCCTGGAACTCTGTCCTGATTTCTCCCAGAGCTGTCAGACATTCAATACTTGAACCATTACCTGCTGCTTTAATGTGCGTTATCAGTAAACTCAAGCTGGAAGCAAGTATTCCCACAAAGGATGTGGGCATTGCAAGCAGTACCTCTGTATCATCTGTTGCCTCAGCAGCCTTTAGTTTTAGAATATTTAGTACCCTTTTTTAAAAAACGGAGTATAAACCCCTAATGAACTATGTGATGCATTTATGCCATGATAGCTAGCTAAACTAAAATCAACTACCAAGCCATAAAATGGGAAGGAAAAGAGAATAATTGCATTTTTAATCTCTTATTTTGAATCTGAATTAAACTGTCTTGATGACCCTTCAGTTCTGGTTTATGTTTGAATATGTTTACTTTCTGTAATATTTACCTATCTATATTCTCTTAGCTCTACATTGGCCTTCTCTTGTGTTCTGCATTCTTAGGGTTCAAAGTCTCAAAACAGCAAAAACTACATTTTCTAGGCTCCCTTTGCCGGCTCTGTTTCCTTAAATTGCACCAGGGAGATATGCTTGTGGGAGAACAGTAGTCAGAAGACATTTCCTTACCTGTTGCAATTGCTGGTATTTCTAAGGGGAGCAGAATGATGGTGTGTTCCACAGGAGTGAATCTTCTCATGTTGTCTAGTCCTGACAACGAGACAGCCTCAGTCATGATCACTTTAGCATTGACAACAGCAGTGCCTCCAGGATTAAGGTAACAAAGCTTAGACAGTATGCACCAGTGGAGCAAGCAACCTCAACTTCCTGATTTGCAGAACACCCTCCCCTAACTCTTTCCTTCTCCCTCTTCCAACCCTGTTAACATATCCATAGGCCATCTCTTCTATCTGTCATCCTTGCGCAGGGGCCATGCTAATCTTCTCTGTATCATTCCAATTTTAGTGTATGTGCTGCCAAAGTGAGCACCATCTCTGTATTTGTAATATCTAGTATGGGTTCTGTTTTCCTGACTATCCTATGTATTTAAAAGCCAAATGTTTGAACTCTGAAGTATTAGTACATTGGTTTTGATATTTAGAGATTTAATGATCTTATGTTTTGTGTCTAATATTCTTATAATGGCTTTAAATATTTGTTGTAGATGATCATTATTGATAATAGCTGGCTCTGTTATTTACTATGTTCTGTCACTGTTCTTAATCCTTTAGGTCTTACAACATTCTCAAAGTAACTATATGAGATATGTGTGACTTTTATCCAATTTGCCCTTGAAGAAAGAAGGAATAAGGAGGTCCCTTAGGTTATCAAGGTTAACCATCCTCAATAGGGGAGAACCAAGATTTGACTCAGGAAAGCCTGCTGCTGTAATCTGAGCCCTTAATGATTCGGGAACATCACTCCCAGCTATTCTGTGTTCTCTCTAAAGCTACCTACATATTATAGATTATGAAGTCTTTGATTGAAACACAGGTATTTTTTAAATTAAAAATTCATGTGAAAATAAGTCAAAAGCTGAATTTTAGAAGTAGCACAATTAATGTAAACTTGAGGCCACTGTTGTGGCACAATGAATTAAATCACTTAGTGCAATGCCAGAATCCAATATTGGAATGCTAGTTCAAGTCCTGCCTTTCCTGTTCCTAATCCAATTCCCTGCTCATGACCTACAAAGGCAGAAGAGGATGGCCCAATCCTTGGACCCTTTCCACTCATTTAGAGATCAGGATGAAGTTCCTGGCTCCTGCTTTAAGTTTGGCCCAGCCTCAGCCATTGCAACTATTTAGCTAATGAACCTGTGATAGAAGATTTCTTTCATTCTTTCCCCTTTTCCTTCTCCCTATCCCACTTTTAAGTAAATAATTATTTTTGGATCCAGCATACAGGCTAATCTCTCACCTGCATATCTGGCATCCCATATGGGCGATGATTATATTCCCAGATGCTCCACTTCCTATCCAACTTTCTAATAGCCTGGAAAAGCAGCAAAGATGACTCAGACCCTTAGGACCCAGCACTCAGGTGGGAGAAGCAGAAGAAGCTCCTGACTCTCAGCTTTTGCAATGACCGAACTAACCTCTGGCCAACTCAGTCAATGGAGAGTGAGCTAGCAGATGAAAGATCTCTCTCTCTCTGAACATTGACTTTCAAATAAAATAGATGAATCTTTGAAAATAATAAAATATTTTCAAAACAGTGTAAACTCAAATCAGTTGTAGATGATAAGCTTCATGAAGCCAGAAAGTATTTGCTGCATTTTTTGTCACTTTAACTCTGAAACCTAGTGTAGCTTCTGACATGATTGATGTTCATTGCAAATTTATACAACAAACTTTATGGAATAGTAATAAATAGTAAGTGATGTGTATAAAATAAGTTGTACGTATAATTCATAATAAATCAATCAGTTGATTTATTTGGTGAAGTTTGGTGAAATTAACATTTGATGATTTTCTTTTATTGTCAAATACCTCTACTTGGACAAAGATCTGGATAATGAGCAAAGATTTAAAGTTATTTTTCTCAGCAAAAATAATACACTTTAAATATTGAAATGTAAATTTCCATTAAGGAAAAAATATTATCCAAGAACACCATAGATTAAAAGTAGGAAATTGCTTTATGACTGAGAACTGTACTCAATGATTTCTGCTAACTCTATCAGGGAAATATACAGAAGAAAAGAGCTGAGATAATACGACATGCAAGAAAACACAAGTCTTGTAAGAAGCAACTAACATATTCGACCCCCACATACTTCTTTTGGAAGGAAAGTAAACAACATTGTGAGCTTGTGAGCAAGCAGATACAATGAAGACTTGACCTTTTGCCTATTAGGTTTAGCTAGATCATGAAAGAAATAAGACACATATGGCAGGTCAGGCACTCACACACACTGTCTTGGGGAGAGACATGCTTGGGATAGAGACAGAGGGCTAAAAGTAAATCTTATTGAACTAAAATCATGATGAGGTATCTATTCTAGCCCAAGGACTCAGACCTATTCTGAGAATTTTTATGAAGAAGGAGGCATGTATGTGTTGGTCTTAAGTAAGGAAAGTTTACAGTGTATACTTCTGTGAAGTGCGAATAATTTTACTTTTTTGTGACTGAAAGCAGAGGACAGTTTTAAGGTTTCTGTAAGAACAGTGTGAATTCATTCAGACTAGAATTGAAGTTGGGTCTGCAGGTTCAATCTATCCCATATACAGGAAATTAGAGATGTTCTGTTTGCAGGGAATGTATAAACAATAATGAAAACAATTGGAAGTTAATATGCTTTTTGTTATCACATGCCCTGAAAATCTAAATACTCTTAAAGGAAAAATACTATATGAAAAAGAGTCTTTGTTTAGGATCTAAACAAGCAGCTAGGTTAATGTTATTTATTAAATATATAGAAATACAAAGTTTTATATATATAGTATATATAAATATATAACATGTGTAAATTTATACAAACATATGTATATAATATATACATAAATACACACACATACACACACACATATATATATTATGAGTTAGCTTCTTTTAAAAATTCCTTCAAGGAAAATTGTAATTCACATGGCAGCCACGCACTGTATATAAAGTTGGCCCCTGACACATGTGATTTAGCTGCCCACTTTTATTCAGAGACTAAGTTTGAAATAATTCAGAAGAATTGGAGCTTCCTCCAGACAAGGTTTTTAACTTCATGCTTTTTGTTTAATCTGTGAATTTTAAAGGATTATGTATACAAGTAAACAGAACCTGATTTTGTCAATTTTTTAGATTTAGTGGTCATTCAGAGTTGCTTGTGCTTTATTTATTTATTTGCAGAAACTACGGTTCAAAACCAGAAGCTACAATGGTAATTGTCCATTGCTATAGCACAAAAACATATATCCATTTCCCTTTCTCAAAAAAGGCTCGGCTTTGACACATGCACTCCATGGTCAGACCATGGAACCTGAAATTCTCTTTATGGTTGGGGTTCTGAGATCAGCAGTTCAGTTGGAGGGATCCCCAAAGAAACTTTGTCTGAGGTGATCCCAGGCCTGATTCCTGTGTGTGCATACCAGTACAGGGTCCAGCAGAGTTCGTCGCCCCAAAGAGCTTATGCATATGCTGGTGGTTGCAATCGCTGGGTCAGTTCTGTTTTCAGCGCTATCTTCCACATGAATCAATGGGTATTGCAGTCCAGCCTGATTCTGTCCAGCACACACTCAACCCTCACACAAGCCAGTGGAGCTACAGCCTAGTCGGGGCAACTCCTAATAACCCCCACCAGGCCTCCTCCTGACCTGGTTCCCAAGCTTGTAAAGCAGATTGGTCCAGTCTGTCCCACATCCCATTCAGCCCTTGTACATGTCAATGGGCATTGAAGCTTGGTTCAACTCAACCAGCCCCACTATCCAGCCCATACACCTGCTGGTGGGTGCTATCCTGTCTAGCCTTGCCTGCCCCAGTACTGGTTTTCATGCTGTCCGGTGGGAGTGGCAACCCAGACGGAGATGCCCACTATTTCCCTACTGAGCCCACTCCCACTCCTGAATCATGCATTTTCCAGGTGCTTCTGCAGTTTAACTTGACAGCATTAGCTCCCATGCCAGCATCTGCCAGCAGATGCTGTAGCAAATGCAACTAACCCTCACCCATTCTGATGTATGCTTGTACCAGGAGGAACAAGCAATCCAGCCTGGCTTTTCCCTGTCTAACTCACATGAGACCCACAGATGCTGTAGCCCTGCCCGGTCTGGTCTACCCCCATCCCAACTCACACTCTCCAGTGGGAGTGGTGTTCCAACAGGGAAGCTCCCCACATTTCCTCTACCAGCTTAACCCCTTCCCTCCCCCACCGGATCTTGCGTGTGCTAGTTGGGCGCCATGGCATAGTCTGACATGTCCTGCCTCACCTCAGGTTTTGCTAGTGAGTGTTGTAGCCTGTCCCAGCCTGGCCCTAATTCCAGCTCAGGTTGGTGGGGGCTAAAGCCTAGCTCACCCCAGCCAGCACCTACACAAGCTCTCATGTGTATTGGTGTGTTGGACCTGGCCCGACCCACACTCCATTCTCATGTTTGGATTCACCAGTGGGTGATGTGAACTGGCCTTGCCTGGTTTGCCCCCAACCTGTGCCAAATGTATGCCACTGGGTACTCTTCCCTGGCTTGGTCTGGGCTGCTCCCTATTGTGGTTCTTGCACTCACCTGCATGAACTGTGTCCTGATAAAGGAGTTTCCCAAGCTCCTCCATCAGAACCATTCCCACTGCCAGATCTTGCACACAAGGGTGGGTCTATGGGCCAGCCCTACTTAGTCTACCTCCTGGTCTAGCAGGAACAATGGCTATTCCTGACCAGCCTTTAACCCATTCTGGCTATTATTGTTGGGTATTACAGCCCAGTCTAGCCTGGTTCATACACAGACACAGCGCATACCCAGCTCATCAGGCAAAAACCTAGCCTAGCCCATCCTATAGCTACCCTGGTTCTCACCAGAATCAGTGGGTGCTGGGGCTAGCCCAGTCCGGCGCACTCAGCCTCAGTTCACACTTGTGCCAAGGTATGCTGCTGCCATATTCAGACCAGAACATGGCTCCCATTCTAGTCCCGTGCTTACCAGTGGGGACCAGAACCCAGCCAAGGTGTGCCCTTAGCTCCCCAACTAAGTGTGTTCCCACCTATCGATCTTGCATGAGTAAGTGCTTGCTCTGACCCAGCTAGGCCTACTCCCTCATCTGTCATGACCTTTGCCTTTGGATGCCTGAAACACATGCTCACCAGTGGGAGCTGTGACCCCCCCAATAGGTTCTCCAAGTTCTCAGGTTCCCCTGCTCAGTCCACTCCTCGACCCAGAGCTCACATGCTCCAGCAGATGCTAGGTCCTTGCCCAGCATAGCCTGCCACTCCATCTTGGCCTTTGTGTGAACTGGAGGATGTTGTGGTCTGGCCTGCCTCACACACTGTGGTAGGATGCACGTTTGGGTGC